CAAAAGTCCATCATTATGAAGACACCTCTCCAGCTGGACAGAATTGTCCCCCAAAGCCAAGCTTCCAATGTGATTCTGTTGGAGCACTGTGAATTGGAGCCCCCATTTCTCACAATAAATGCAAGATCACATATCGAAATTTTTCAAAACATGCAGTAAAACATGTGTTGGGTTTTTTGTGGGTTTCTACTTAGCTTCTCTTTCTAGATCATACCTACAGTATGCCCGGGGAGCACCGACAGAGCACCCCTCCTGTCCCTGGCAAGGACCTCCATCAGTGTGCAAATCAACACATGGAAGATTCCGCGCCAGGGTCGGACTCTATAAGCTGGTACCTTAGAGCCTGCCCAGGACTCATGTGACTCTCTTTTGCAAAGTTCTTATTTTGACTGGGCTGCAGGAGGTGGGGCAAGTCACTGGATGCTCCCCTGTCAGACTCCCACGGAAATACCATGCAGATGGGTTAGTGATTTTAGCATGCGTTGGAAGTACAGAGCCCCGTACCTGTATATGCAGAAGAAAGATTAATGCTGTAATTAGGAAGGGGATAATTGTGTGCAGCTGCAGAGTTGCCCTCATTACCTGATCCTGGGATTTCTTTTTCTTCTTCTTCTTGCCCCAGCATCCGGAACTTTCCGTGTCCTTGCCGTTGGCCTCACCACAAAGCAGCCCATCCAGCTCGTCCGTGCCCATGTGCTGTCCCTGAGACGTTTCTGCTGCTAGTCGGTAGGACAGGTTCCTTAAGATGCACACACAGTTTTCAACGGTCTGGAGCACCCACAACGAGACGAAAAAAAAGAAACAAAAAAAAAAAAAAAAAAAAAAGAAAAAAAAGAAAAGAAAGGAAAGGAAAGGAAACAAAGGAGGAATGAANTTATAAATAAATAAATAAATAAATAAATATATATATATATTATATTTGCATGTGACGCACGTTTAGCAAAACTGGCCAGGCTTTATCAACATCATATGTATACCTACATACACTCCCATTTTTATATTATTTTTCTTCACTTTGTATTACATATGCTGTCTCATCGCTGCATATTCTTTGAAAACCTGACTTTATGAGCAACAGATTCCAGAGAATGGATATCTGACGATCTTTAAAGCTGTAAACCTAGAACTTTCCAGGAGCTTCCAGATGAGTGAAGCCAGTGTGCAGGCTCTGAAGGTAACCTTCTGTTCTGGTGTTCACAAAGATAGGGATGCTTTGTCCTAGACAGGGCTGGGGACATTTCCACTTCTCACCTTGCTGCAACCAGTTAACAGCGATGAATTAGGGCCTTGGTTCCCCCTCTCACTGGAGGCAGCTGGCATGTCATTCCTTTAGATGATTTGGAATTTCAAATTCCTGCTTTCCCCAAGGGCAAAGCACATTCCTCAAGATGAAGCAAGGTTTCCAGGCTGGCGCAAATGCCCATCCTCCCCAGCAGGTGGCGCCATCTAGACTCAGTTCTCTCCTGGGGACCAGTCAACAGGCTGGGAAGTCAACTGGATCTGAGGGCGCCTTCCGGTCCCTCTTCTTCCTGCGCGTACGGATGCTCTCCTCCCCATCCCCAAACCTTTCAGCTGTGCCTGCCTTCCATCGGTTTTAAATGCAAGAGGGCTTTTACTTTTGACTGTTTTTTAAATGTACTGAACTTGACAAAACATCCTAAATGACTTTGAAACAAGCATAAGTATTATCCGTTTACACCCTCGCTGAAATGTTTCATAAGCTATTTTTATTATGTTAGAGCACAGTTCCAAGTCTTTTACAAAACTATCACTTGGCTGAAACCATGACTTTGGCGTTTCTTTGTAAGCAACGATGTTCCGTATTCTAACATGGCTGTTTCGGCAAAACTTTCTTAAAGAAATCTTTTTCGTCTCCTTGAAAATATTGTAAGAAAAAGATGGGACAAATGACCCTTATAAATTTTCACTTAGACTTTTGGCAAAAATGATAAAAGTGCTTTAATCTCTTTGTCTTATGCAACTTAGAAAATGGTTCATTGGTGTCATAAAATATGGTTGGAAGTACAACAGTCTTAGGTAAGAAATTGCTCATCATAAGGATCCATGGCAGCAGCTCACAGCTTGAAAGGAGGGATGCGTTTGGGGGTAAAGCCCATGAATATTTTCTTCTGACTCTTGATCTCTCCAGACCCAATCAATACCTAATGTCACCTGTCACTTCAAAGGCTTCAAGCCACGTGAACACACATTGGCAGTGTTGGAAAAAGGGTTCAGGGTTTGGGGGTGACTCTTACTAATGGGACACCAGTGACAGATACAGGGACCATCAGAAGGATGCACTTTAAATTTTTTAAATTTTATACCTTATTTTTGAGAGAGAGAGAGAGAGAGAGAGAACAAGTGGGGGAGACAGAGACAGAATCTGAAGCAGCCCCAGACTCTGAGCTGTCAGCACAGAGCCTGATGTGGGGCTTGAACCCACGAGATCTGAGCCAAAGTCAGTCGCTCAACCGACGGAGCCACGCAGGTGCCCCAGAAGGATACACTTTAGAATCCAAAAACAGACTGGAGAGAAAACCTTAAAATCACAGTGAATTCAGTCTTAGTGAATTCAAAGAGTTTTTTTGATTGTTTTTGTTTTTTGTTTTTTTAAACCAAGGCTCATGCGTTAATACAATTTCCCAAATGTACCTTCCAAAGTTGCCTGGGCCCATCCAGGAGGTTCTGGGTCTGTGGTGGTGGGTAAGGCCTGGGGGATTATCATCACCTGACAGATTGGCAAGCACCACACTCCTGCCCAGATGCTGTTCTTCTCAGCCTTTATTATGCTCATTCACTTTCCAGGGTAAAGCAGTTAAGTGACGGGACCCCGTGATACACAGTTGTGCAGGAGGAAACCATGAGAAGGACCCATTATACCTTTGTTAGGCCACGTTTAGTTTATATGATATTGAAAAGGTTCAGAAGCATCATTGTCTGGCCGCCTTCAGTACTGGGCAGGAAAACTGAGGTATCTGACATAATTTGGCATAATTCCTGGCACAGAGTAGGTGTTCAATAAACACCTGCTATCTAACCACTACATTCCCCTGCGGGGAATTTTTAAGAACTATGGCTTAATCCTCTTAAAAGGCTCCTGCAATTCAGGAAGAAGCGGACACAGAGCACTGAGCCACAACAGGAGAGAATGCAGGGTTGGGAGCTTCTCAGAGTGGAAGATCTCCATCAAAAAGGCAAGCAGCATGTGCCTTTTAAGTTGTAGGTGTGTTTATGCTAGAAGATACAGATCTAGAAGCTGTAGATGTGCCTGGAGCAGCTCTCAGGGGCCATAAACAGCAAGAGGACTAGAGCCTAGAAAATGTGAACACCGATGCACTCAAGTTAAATTTAGGAATTCTATTTAAGAATGCATTCCCATGGATCCTTATTCCAAACAAACTAGCTCCTATAATCCTTACTCAAAGCAAAATGATTTTGAAGATACTTTAAAAAATGATGGGCTGTGATCTACACAGATACTTTTGCATATTTAATTTGAATTAAAACCTGCTAAGAGAGACAGTTGGGTGTTCTGTCCCTGCTTTCTTAGTTGTTCTCTCCTGAAGACAGGCAGGTCTTTATGGCCGTTAGCAGCTGGGATTTGACCGCAGTGTCCAGGGAAGGCTGGACGCATGATCGCACTGTCTGGGGAAGTCTGGACACATGATCGCACTGTCCAGGGGAGGCTGCATGCATGACCACGGTGTCCAGAGGAAGACTGGATGCATGATCACAGTGTCCAGGAGAGATGAAGAAACCTCAGTAGTAGGGGTTTCTGGCCAGCAGCCATGACTCAACACTACTCCTTCCCCCGCGGGGCCCGATGGGTGAGGGTTGCGCCGCCCAGAGGCTCCGGAAGGAAAGGGCTGGAGACTATCTTGATTCCACCAAGGCCAAGAGTGGCTGTCTAGTGGCCATTACTTCAGGGCAGGCAGCCGACTGACAGCTGCTCAAGGTAAAGTCCATCATTTTGAATTTTTTAAGCATTTATTTATTTATTTATTTTTAAAATTTTGTATTTATTTCTGAGAGACAGAGAGACAACGTGAGCAAGGGAGGGTCAGAGAGAGAGGGAGATACAGAATCTGAAGCAGGCTCCAGGCTCTGAGCTAGCTGTCAGCACAGAGCCCGACGCGGGGCTTGAACCCATGTACCGTGAGATCATGACCTGAGCCGAAGTCGGACGCTTAACCAACTGAGCCGCCCAGGTGCCCCAATGTTTATTTATTTTTAAGAGAGATGGAGACACAGCATGTGAGCAGGGAAGGGCAGAGAGAGAAGGAGACACAGAATCTGAAGCACGCTCCAGGCTCTGAGCTGTCAGCATGGAGCCTGACACGGGGCTCGAACCCATGAACTGCGAGATCACAACCTGAGCCGAAGTCAGATGCTCAACTGACTGAGCCACCCAGGCGCCCCAAAAGTCCATCATTATGAAGACACCTCTCCAGCTGGACAGAATTGTCCCCCAAAGCCAAGCTTCCAATGTGATTCTGTTGGAGCACTGTGAATTGGAGCCCCCATTTCTCACAATAAATGCAAGATCACATATCGAAATTTTTCAAAACATGCAGTAAAACATGTGTTGGGTTTTTTGTGGGTTTCTACTTAGCTTCTCTTTCTAGATCATACCTACAGTATGCCCGGGGAGCACCGACAGAGCACCCCTCCTGTCCCTGGCAAGGACCTCCATCAGTGTGCAAATCAACACATGGAAGATTCCGCGCCAGGGTCGGACTCTATAAGCTGGTACCTTAGAGCCTGCCCAGGACTCATGTGACTCTCTTTTGCAAAGTTCTTATTTTGACTGGGCTGCAGGAGGTGGGGCAAGTCACTGGATGCTCCCCTGTCAGACTCCCACGGAAATACCATGCAGATGGGTTAGTGATTTTAGCATGCGTTGGAAGTACAGAGCCCCGTACCTGTATATGCAGAAGAAAGATTAATGCTGTAATTAGGAAGGGGATAATTGTGTGCAGCTGCAGAGTTGCCCTCATTACCTGATCCTGGGATTTCTTTTTCTTCTTCTTCTTGCCCCAGCATCCGGAACTTTCCGTGTCCTTGCCGTTGGCCTCACCACAAAGCAGCCCATCCAGCTCGTCCGTGCCCATGTGCTGTCCCTGAGACGTTTCTGCTGCTAGTCGGTAGGACAGGTTCCTTAAGATGCACACACAGTTTTCAACGGTCTGGAGCAAAAAAAAAAAAAAAAAAAAAAAAAAAAAAAAAAAAAAAAAAAAAAAAAAAAAAAAAAAAAAAAGAAAGAAAAGAAAGGAAAGGAAAGGAAACAAAGGAGGAATGAATAAAAACCAAAGAGCATTCTTCTGCCCAGAAAAGCAAGTCATTTCCACACTCCTGATTCTGGATGCATTTAGCTGTTGGCTCCCAAAGGCTCTCTTGAAGGCCACAGTGGAGGAATTCAGAGAAGCCTGAGAAGGTCTTAAAATCTTTTCTTCTCTCAAGTTGTTCCTTTTATAAGCAGCTGTCATTGTGTGGTGTGGGGTGTGTGTGTGTGTGTGTGTGTGTGTGTGTCTGTTACTGTCAAGTTAGCTAACATACCGTGTAGTCTTGGCTTTGGGAGTAGATTCCCGTGATTCATCGCTTACACACAACACCCAGTGCTCATCCCAACAAGTGCCCTCCTCAGTGCCCATCACCCATTTTCCCTTCCGCCACCCCCCTCCCCATCGACTCTCAGTTTGCTCTCTATATTTAAGAGTCTCTTATGGTTACATAAGCAGCTGTCAATGTTGATTGAAGTTCGCCAGTGAGTGGGGAAGAATCCAGAGGCCTTGGATGGTGGCCCACTCCCAGACCACTCCCGTCTGGGGACCAGGGCTCAGATTCACCGAGAACATGGATACTCACATCTCCATCAGCCTTGGGAGGGAGACACTACTATTTGCCACCAACCAGAGCACTTTCTGGCACTAAAATGAGGTAGGAGATATAAAGCTGGGGGGTCCTAGGCAAGCCATGTGTGGGATCACCTGGGGACACACATATTTCCATGCTACTGACTTGTTTTGAGGTGACTGGTGCTCCTGTTTTCTTGGCTTGGCCGTTCAACAGGGCTGGAGGACACGTGTTGCGTGGCTGAGCACCTTAGGGCCCTTGGTGTCTGCTGGCTGTGTGACTAGGACAGTACACCCAACATCTCTCTGACGCAATAATCTCTTCCGGGAGATGGTCGTACAGTACCCACGTCTTCGCTTGCTGTGTGGATCAGGTGAGCTCGAGTATGTATGTGCGGTAGGCAGAAGGCCTCGCCTGCCAAGAGGTTCCCATTCATCTCTGGAAGCTCTGAATTTGTGAGGTTACGAGGCCAAGGGGAATGGAGGCTGCAGACAGCATTAAGGCTGCTAATCAGCTGACTGTCAGGGAGATGGTCCTGGATTTTCCCGGGGGGCCCACGGAACCATGAGGGTCCTATAAGTGAGAGAGGGTGCAGAGGAGGTGGAGTGAAGTGGTGTGAAAAGGCTGCGAAAATGGAGGAAGGGGCCGCTGGCAAGGGAATTGTGGGCACCTCTAGGAGCTGGAAAAGATGAGGAAATGGACTCTCCCCTGCGCCTCCGGAAGGAATGCATGCAGCCCTAGTGACACTTTTATTTTAGCCCAACAAGACCCAGTTGGGACTCCCGGCCTGTGAAACGGTAAGAGAATAAATATGTGTTGTTTCCAGCCACCGTGTTCATGGTGATGTGATTTCTTTTGGCAGCGATGGGAAACCAGTGTGCATGTGCTGAGGAGAGAGCCTGCGCAGGGAAAATGCTACACGAGTGTTCATGCCGTGAACAACGGTGCACATAGCACCTCCCGGAAGTCCAGAGCATGGGACCTAGAGCCAGCCAGTGTAAGTCTGAGTCCTGGCTCTGCCATGTCGCAGGCTGTGTGACCTCGGGCAAAGTGCTTAATCTCTCTGTGCTTCCATTTCCTCCCAAAGACCCTTCCTGCCAAATATCATCACACTGGAGATTAGTACCAGCGCACATGAGTTTGGGAGGACACGTACATTCAGTCCATTGCATCTACTTTTTCACATTTGTTCCGGATTTGATGAGCAGTGGGAAGAGGAAAAATACACCCAATCAAAAAAAAAAATAATGGTGGGAAAAAACACTGAACTGAGCTAAGATTTATTTTTAGAAGCACGCCTCTCTGGATGTGGCTTCTCGGGCACCTGCTCTGTGCACCAGCGTTCATGGCAGGGAACGTGGTTCCATTTCACAGATGAGACCTGCAGCTGTTGGGGACTCACAGCAGATTGGACTACTCTTTCTAGTCCTGGGCCCAGCCTGGGAAGGCGGGACTGAGTGCTCCCCTCCCACGACAGGGATCTGGCAGCACGCGTCATTGACCTGACTACCAGGTGTGTGACAATCAACCAGGAAAACCGGTTTTCAGGATAGATCTCTGGAGCCTTTGCTCCATTCCAGACCTTTCTTGTCAGCTTTTCAAGGTTTCATGGCTGCTAATCCCACAGGCTTTGAGTCAACTTGCTTTTCTATTTCAAGCATCCTCTCAGCATCAGAAAAAAAAAAAGGAACCGTCATGAAAGCAGGTAAACACAGGACGATGCATGAAAGAGAGAAAAGTCTCTCTCTGAAAGGGAAATGTTATGGCATCAGTCAGAACGATTTTTAAATCAGCTCAAACTGATTTCTTCTTACATCAAAGACTTGGGAGAATCAACTTCTTTCTCATCCTGCTGTTCATCTTCCCTGGGGCATCTCCGTGCTGCTGGTTAACAAATGACTACTGGGGAACACAGCCACAGTTTCGAGACCTGCTTTATGATCTACCTGTGGCTGGAGGAGGATTTGGGAGAAGCCGGAGGGGGAGAGAAGGCGGGGTTGGTGGAGGGGCGGGGGGTGCAGAGGAAAAGAAGGAGCGAAGGAGTCCCAGGGGCTGGACTCGCCTCTCTAGCTCAGCTTGGTATGGGAGGGTCACCCATTCAAGCTCTTTTCTCGAAAGCAGGGGAAAGGGGACGGAAAAAAGAGCAGCCACTGTCCTTCTTTGGGACATCAGCAGAAGGCATGTGGCAGCTGGTGGCTCTGCTTCTGACATGAAATGCTGTCAACAGTGCTTTCAGCAGCTCCTCTTGGTCACCAGGGTCATTTTGACTCCTTCTTTCTTTGAGAAAGGGCCAATTTGGAAGCTGTCTATAGAATACTCTACCATATGTTAGCCATTCAACAAACTGTCCCAATCACAGCAGCCGAGCTGAGAGCTTGCGTGGATTTCAGGTTCTTGGGTTCCATTAGCTGTGCCGGCCTTAAAGGGAATGTGCACTCAATTCCCTCCTCTAGCCTGTCACTGTGAAAGCTCAGCGGTGACCAGGCAGAGGGCCGAGTGGCAAGGTCTGGGAGAATGATACGTTAAAACTCTCCGGCACGCTCTGGCTGGCAAAACACTGCTAAGTAACTTGTGGCGTCGGATCCTTTCAGAAGCTATGATGATACTCATTGTCATGAAGCCGGGGCGCCCGGGTACAAGTCTATAATCAGCAGGAGGGTGGAGGCAAATCTACCCAAGCTTGGTGCTCTAGCTGCTGCATCAGAAATAGCCGTGTCTTATGATTCCGCCTTCAACACTCTCAGGGATTCCGGGTCCCTCTTTTGAAGAGAACGTGGACAGAACGTGGACATTAAAAGAGGTGATCTCCAGTGTGTCCCAGGAGTCTAGTGACCTATCAGGGGCCTCACAGCACTTTGGGGGGGGGGGCATGCTGCTGGAGGCTACCTTCCCACCAGTGTCAGCATGGGCAGCTGCCCGAGTCAAGGGTCTGTTGAATCTCATTTTATTTTCAACCACAAGGCCTGGACAATATTAAAGCTCTTGTGGCATCCCTTACAGTAAGAGGCTCAGCATCCCGATGCCGTAGTCTTTCCTGCTCTGCACTGAAGCCTTAGTGAATTTCCTTTGGCAGCTCTTTTAAAAATCTCCTATCGTGTTAAGACACATCTGTAAATACTCAAGACATCTTGACTGGTCACTCTTTTATGGACTTCATTTTCCTGTCAATGATGTTAAAAGTTCTAAAATGGCCATTAACAGTGTTCACAAGAGGGGCCAATTGCGTCTACAGTACATCATCTTCCATTTCGAAATTGATGAACACTTCAGAGTACGCTGATGGATGCAAGCGTAACTCGGTGGTGGTGACCAGATGACAAACTGTGTTTGGAACTGCAGTAAACTAGAACTCAAAGGATTGGGATCTCAGAAGATACCACGCATCCACCACTATAGGGAGAAGGGCCCAGGTATCAGCAATTTTCTACATTTCTCGGCCGCTCCTCTGTGCATTCAAGGTTGAAAACCGCTAACCAGGTCATTTCCCATGCCAGCTGGTAACTAAAGGGGTCAAACCACTCTTACTTGTGCTTTATGTGATTTTACAACTAAATTACATTACATCATATTCCTGATGAGAGTCCTTTTCACAGCTGTGTCTCGTAAGATAGGTTCTCAGTCTAAGACACATCAAATCACCTGATGAACTTCTAAGGAACAAAAAGCTGAGACCAGAGGTAGACATTCAGAGCCAGAGGGCTGTGATGGGGTCTAGGCACGTGTACTTACTGAACAGTCTTCATTCTAATGAAGAGTGGGCATTAAAAGCCATGGGATTAAGGCTGTGGTTTACAACCAGAACCAATTTTGCTTCCTGTATGGGACACCTGGTGATGTCTTGGGGACATTTTGGTTTGTCCCAGCTATGAAGGGAGGTGTTGTTAGCATGGAGCAGGTAGAGCCTAGGGATGCTGCTCAACGTCCTATGATGCCCAGGACAGCCCCCAAACACTGAATTATTTGGCTCAAAATATCCATGGTGTGGCTCCTGAGAAATTCTTAAATGTGTTAAGGTCTCCCATTTATCACATGGATTACCTTAAAAGCATTAGTAGAGTCTGTGCTTATATCAGGACACTATTACTTTACAATTTTACATTTAGAATGAATTGAAACTAATCAAAAGACAAACTGAGGCAAAACAAAATACCTCCCACATTGGAAAAGCCCACCCGATTCTATTTTGGTTTGTGAACTCAAGCACTGAAGAGACTCTGATGATGGACATACCAGCAGCCTCATTTATTTAGCATTTTTAAGGCAGTTACATATCTTTATTGGGCAGTTTTTTAGAAAATTTAAAAAAATTAATGTTTATTTATTTCTGAGAGAGATAGGGAGACAGAGTGGATGTGGGTGGGGGAGTGGCAAAGAGAGAGGGAGACACAGAATCTGAGGCAGGCTCCAGGCTCTGAGCTGTCAGCACAGAGCCTAACACAGGGCTTGAACCCACAAACTGTGAGATCATGACCTGAGCCAAAGCCTGACATTTAACTGTCTGAGCCACCCAGGTGGACCTTCATTAGGCACTTTTAAAATGGCATTTGAAGAACTGACATTTGTAAAAAGCTAACTTGTAAGAATATTCAAAGTTCAGGTAGTTTTAATATGTCTTTTCTTTTGAAAGCAGGTTAAAAAAATAAAACTGGAAGCTTGTGGATAATGTAGTATGTAAAAGTTTATACACTCATCTGGTTTGAGTAATTTAAAACAATCCACATTTTAATTTATTAGTTATTGAGACTTAACTGTCTAGTTCTAGGCTAGGATTAGAAGCCATCGAGAAAATGTAGGATTCCTACGGGGAGACCAAGATAGATTTCACAGCGAAGGTATTAAACACAGCATTAGCTCTCCGTTGTTGTTAGCCATTGCTTAGTCCCTTGGGCATCTTTATTCACTGAGATGTTTAATCTATGCAAACAGAACAAACCTTGCTGTCGATCTCACTGCTCCCCAGTGCAGACTGGATCACGTAGAGCAGCGCATCTGTGAGCCCATCACATTCCCGCATCCTCCTGCGGGCCTCCTCTCCGGCTGAACTAACATTCCTGCAAAGCAAAAGGGCGCAGTCAGCTACCTCCTCTGTGGGCCCCAAAGGAACCTTCTCCTATGCTCCCATGCGCATCTCCAGAATGTTTACCAAGAACACAAATTTAACGAAGAGGGACAGTTTCCACAAATGCATCCTAGAACCGGGCAAGTCCCAGGTATCTGCCTTGTAATGTGCGAAATGGAGACGCAGAATCGTGAATGCGTCATCTGTGATGGTCCCGTGACTGCGGAGGATGGAGACTCTCGGAAAGTCTTTAAGGTTGACTTCATTGACAGCTGACAAGGGAATCAGAAGCTCTGTGATTCAAAGGCTTCTTCTTTGAGACATTTGAAAGAGTGTTTTTCAAAGACAGAACTTCTGACTTACCGAAATATCTTAGGTTCTATATATATCTAATATCTACTGTCTAATTTCCCCTGTCTCAAATATATACCTACCTTGGCCCTACCAGAAGTAAACTTCTAGAAATTTATTCTAAGAGCCTAGGTAGGGGTTTCTGTGAAAATTTGGTCATGGGGATGCGCATGGCACCGTTTATGGGCAGGCGCGGCCCAAGCTCCTTCCTGTCTCAGCACAAGCACAGAAGGGCAGATGTCAGAGAACAGGCAGCTGGGAAGCAGAGAGATCTTCTACCTCTACAAAAGACATGAGAAAAGCCCAGTCAAGGGTGAATCTCTGGGGTGCTTTTACTGACCCCACCACCTGAGAATACGTTCTTCCTCTCCTACCCATGGTTAGGATTTGGTCCAGAAAGAGAACTGCTGCAGCAACTCATGGACAACCAGTCTGCTGGAGGGATGCTGGAGGTGAGTTAAGAGAAGGTGTAAAGGAACTGAAGGAATTCAGTGACCACGGGGAAGAGTGATCTCTCGAGAATGATCCCAGGAGGACAGTGGCTCTCAAACTTGGCTAATATCAGAATCCCCTGGAGGGGAGCACTGGGCTCCACTTTGGAGTCTCAGGTGGCAGCAGATACCTTCCTATTTGGTGACGCCAGAGTTGAGAACCACTGCTCTGACTCTGGCTCTGGGGAGAGGGTCTGGCCGGGAAGGGCATGCCCTCTGCTGCCCGCAGGCGGATGCCACACGGTAGATCCCAGGAATCCGTGGCCCTGGACAGCGCCCACAAGAGGCACCCGATAGGATGAATCTCATGCCCACGTTGTAATTGACACAGGTATTCGCATTTCATTTTCACAACGTCCTTCAAGGTTACTTTTCATTCTGTTTTACAGATGAGAACACTGAGGCTCAGAGAGCTGCCCCAGCCCACAGAGGGAGTAGTTAGTGGAGGCGCTGATGTAGAATCTCGTCTATGAAGAGAGGAAGGCAAGGCTTTCAGGCTTGATGTACAACATGGGCGCACCACTTTTTCTAGGAATGAAAATAAAATAGGCTCGACACTAAAATGCTAACGGCTAAAATGCTATTGAACATAAACGTTTTCTTCACTATCTAGAAGGTTCTGGAGGATGTGTTTGAATAGCGTCTCTCCACATTTTAATCTAAGACTGGGAAAGGTTATTCAATTCAAATTAGTATTTTTGGCATTTGCTCATCTTAAAATATAAACAAAATTTCTCAATTCCTCAGATAATATAACTGGGCAAATAATGACAGCATTTTTATGTAAAGTGTTATGACTCACTCCGCCCCCGGGGTGGCCAACCCTCATTTCTGGCAGGATCTTGGGGCGGGAGGAAGGGCCAACATTTCTGCAGGGAGAAGTGGTGAGGGCTTTGCTGGTATTTCTCTACATGAGAAGGACGGCCTTTGTGAGAGAGCAGTTTTGGACCATTCCTTCTTGAAATGGTTTTCGCCAGGTCAGGCTTTGAGGCTGTTAGAGTAATAGGCTTGTCAAAAATCTCAATCAGGCCTCTTTGGCCAGAAGAATGCCGGATGGCAGTGTGTACCAGTGTGTTTTAAATCTTGTCCCTGTACTCTGAAGAGATTGTGTTTTTCTAACGAGAGAATGATGGGAGTTAGTCTTGAAAGTGTCTGAGGGGTAGCTCTGTACACCCTAGTCTGAAGTCCTCGGCCCTCTTCCCTGGCCGATGAACACTCAGTCTTGCCCTTGAGTAGCTTTACGGTGAGGGCAGATTGCCTCCTCATTCACAAATACACTTGATAATGATCAGCCTATTTTCACTGGTAATCCAACAGACAGGGCAACCACAGGAAAGATCAGGAATTATCAACTCGGTCAACATTCTAAGTTGTAAATATGAATCTAAGCAGTATCCTTTATTCTCATATCTCTTTGATTCTAGTTTAGTCTTCTCCAAAATTAAAAAAAAAAAAAAAACCAACTTATTAACTGGCTGCTATATTAAAATGTGTAAGATATTGTGGGGTGCCTGGCTGGCTCAGTCGGTAGAGCATGCCACTCTTGATCTTGGGGTTGTGAGTTTGAGCCCCATGTTGGGTGTAGAGGTGACTTAAAAATAAAACATTAAAAGATGTGTAAGATACTGAGAAATGAGAAAGACTAATAAGTTAGAGTCTTTGTAGAGAAGGGGAAATGAATGCGACACACACACACACATGTGCATATTAACACACACACACCAACACACCTCTATGATATGTAGGGGAAAAGGGAGTTACCACAGTGTCTGCAGATATGGTGTTCACTACATATTTTTTTAATGTTTTTTATTTATTTCTGAGACACACAGAGAGAGAGAGAGAGACAGCATGAGCAGGGGAGGGTCAGAGAGAGAGGGAGACACAGAATCTGAAACAGGCTCAGGCTCTGAGCTGGCAGTCAGCACAGAGCCCGACGCAGAGCTCGAACCCATGAACCGTGAGATCATGACCTGAGCTGAAGTCGGCCACCCAACCGACTGAGCCACCCAGGCGCCCCAACATATTTTTAAACAGAATGAGGTGTGCACGTGTCTCTTAATCAATGGATAACAGTGTTTTACAAACCTCTGGGGTTGAGTTCACTTTTAAGCAACTACTCCTGCATGAGGGAAAACACATTAGAAAAGTACCTGTGGCTTTTCACTCAGGAGGAGAGGAGAGTTTCATCTTTCTCCTTTTCCCCCACAAAACAAGATCTACTATATTGTTCACTGTTTAAACATAAAAAAACCCAACAACGTTTAGTGTGTGTGACAATTAATTGCAATTATGGTCCTAAGTAAGTGACAATGAGCCTGTGTCCAACCTACAGAGTTCCACTCTGCTATTGCACTTGAACCCGTCTTCTGCCCATCTTGACAGGTGATTCTCATATCTGATGGGAAACCAGTAGAGCAAATTTCTATGCATTAGCATAACATTAAGACAAATACTTACGGATTATTTGTAAAAAGTGCAAATCTGGTATAATAGCTATTCCTTAGAAATAATCTTTACAATCTTGACTGAACTGTCAGTTGACATGTCATTTGGAGATTTCTGCTCAAAGTAGGTTCTATAATCTTTTTATCTCATTGATAAATAATGAAACTTTTTATTTCTTCCAATTAAAAGGTATAAACTCTCTCACAATCTCTTGTATTCAACTGTAACTAGTTAAGCTGCTTTCTTTCCCCTGCCTTCAGTGCTGTCTGACATCCCGTTTCTCTGAGCCTCTGTCACTCACTGAGCTTAGGTGAAACAAATTCAAAGCACGGAGCTCTCATAGGATCCAAAGTGGCACTTGTAATGTATGTTGAAAGGAATAAAACCAGCATTTCACACGAAAGACTTAGTTTTATGTGTCTCTACTTCAAGATGGTCAGGATATGTAGAGGGAAACCGCAGAGAAAACCAATGGATGAGATTTTTAGCAATTAGTCTCTTTGAAATGAGCCTCTCTCTTCTCCACACTCTCTTCGCTCTTTGAATCTCTCTTATTGATCACCATTGACTCTGTATTAGAATTCTTTAGGCTGTGACCTCACTGCTGCATTGAACCTTCTGGAGGGTAGAAGGCATGTAGCTGTCGTTTGCATGCCCAGCATACAGCTCAGTGCCCAACACAACCTCGGTGCTCAGAGCAAGGTGGTTATTACAGGTGCACTCAGCCCTTTCCATGCACCAGCATCCGTGTGAGTTCACCTCTGGCTCTGTTCTCATTGGATAAAATCGGATGTCTGTTCCATCAAGAATAAAGGCTTCTTATGCGGTGGTTTGTGCTCTGCCACGGGGATTATGCAGGGCAGGCTCAATTTGGGAAGAAAGAAAACAACAACAGCACCTGAACACAACTAAACAAATTTGAGATATGAGCTTTCTTATGACTGTGTTGGAGCGAACGGCACAGTCCTGCCACCTGGAGCCCATTGGGTATTCCCGAGCCATAGCCGTCTTCACCCCCAGCTTGCAGGAAGAGTTTTCTGGCTCAGTTTCTCTTCCTGTGCTCTGTTATCTCTTCTCTCCACCTTCCCCTGCTCTTTGGCCTTTATAATCTGCCCTCCACTGGGGCCATCTCATATCAGGTCCAGCCCCATCCCTCTGAGTTCTGGGTCCTTCCTGTGCATCTCTGGGCCGGTGCTCACAGGTCTCCTTTGTCTCATCTCACCAGCAGAGGCCGGGCGCTGGGTGTCTGGCGACATGGGCTACACTCCTGAGACTGACGAGTGGGGGCTGCCAAGGTCTTCAGACAGCAGAGCTTAGACTGTTCCGAGAAATACAGGTGGTCCTAAGGCAAAGCTGAAATACGAAGCCACACACTCAGAAGGCTTTGATGCCAATGCAATAGGGCAGGCAGGAAGAGAGGCGGCATCCATCACAGATGATGGCACAGAGCAGCCCAGGGACACCAGGCCCGGGCCTGGGGATACCGGGGACTCCCAGGGTCTTGAGCCCACTCCCAGGGTCTTATCCACAGATAAGGAGAGTGTGTCTGGGGGTCTGAGGCTAGGCAGACCTTTCCACCGGCAATGCCCTTCTGTCTCCGTCTAGACCCACTGATTTTGAGCGGCCACGCTGCCGAGGCTTAGTCAGAGCTCTGCCGTGGGCCCTTAGCTCCTGCCTTCATTGTTCCAGACACAAGCTCTTT